CGGCCTGGGTCGCTGGAACCGGCAGTAACCCAGGCTGACACACCACCGAACCAGTTCTTCTATGGACCGCCATCTTGATTTTTGGTTCTGCACATGCGTGGAACAATTTTAATTGCACAAATTTAATTCACCCCCTTTTAAACATTTTACTCATGCACAGACCTATTTTTGTGCAAATGTGCACACAGGTATGCGCCTGGCGTGCACGTGCATTTTTTTTTGTGCGCACCAAACTGGCAGTAATGCGAGGAGCAACCCACTCCTGCACCATGGCCACCATTTTGCAAATTTTAACACCCTGTTCTCTGCAATAAATGGCAAGTAATCACCACCTCCTTTCACCTCAATTTTTAACTGAGAAGACCAGGCTTACGGCTTTCAAAGCTAAGAAATCAAAATCGTGACAAGGGCATGCTTCTCTTCTAGATAATGGGGCACATCTGCAAATCCTTCCGAGGTAATTTCTTTATGCTTCCTTAAATACTTGAATTAGATGCCATATCGTTTCCCACAGGTTCCGTGATATAATCAGCCCACACCAAGTTGAGACCTACTCCTATTGCACTCCGTGCTTTGTAGAAAAGCATTTATATATTTATGATAGTGGCCTAGAGTCACGCGCATGAGATGGGCAGCTACAGAAATCGAATAAATAAATCAAGCATGTCATCAAAGATGTGAGCAGGCCAATTGATATTTGCAACTGCCTGGATGGAGGAATAGGGCTGCTGGCCGGGGCAGCCATCTGCTATTGTGATGGATCTCTAATAGTTTTTGCCTGGTAGTCAATCCTGAGCTAATTATAGCCAATGACAGGCAGATCTGGCTTCTCTTCTCTTTTTGGCTATGCTAATCTAACAGGAGAGCTGGATAACGTTTTGGCTTATTTGTTTTTGTAGAAATTATGAAGCGCATAAAGCCCCAACCAAGAAATACGCCAAAACCAAGTATGACTTTGTGGGAAGAAACCAGAGCGAACTTTCTGTTCTGAAGGATGACATTTTAGAGGTAACAATGCTTCTTTAAACACACACACACACCAGAGGTGGTATTCAGCCGGTCGGGAGAACCGGTAGCGGAAATTTTGAGCAGTTCGGAGAACTGGCAAATACCACCTCTGGCTGGCCCCGCCCCTGCCGTTCCTATATTCCCTTGTTTTTTAGCTCAGTTGATTTGCGCGGCAGAGTGAATTGCCGCTCCTCAGCTGAGCTAAAAAACAGTTCAGCTCACCAGCGCTGACACTGAGGGCGGTCTTTGAGTGCTACGCCTGCATTCAAAGCATGCATGCTCGTGCAAAGTGCGCTCTCATAGAGCCGATAGGAAAAGATTTGAAATTCCACCACTGACACAGAGAGAGAGAGAGAGAGACAGACAGACAGACAGACAGACAGACAGACAGACAGACAGAGAAAGGTAGTCCTTGACTTACGACAATAATTGAACCCAAAATTTCTGTTCCTAAGTGTGACGGTTGTTAAGGTTTAGGACTTTTGCTATTGTTGTTAAGTGAATCGCCACACTTGTTAAATCAGTAACAGAGTTGTTGAGTGAATCTGGCTTCCCCCATTGACTTTGCTTGTCAGAAGGTCACAAAAGGTAGATCACATGACCCTGGGACGCTGCAACCGTCATAAATACGAATTGGTTGCCAAGCGTTTGAATTTTGATCGCACGATCATGGAGATTCTGCAATGGTCATAAAGCGAGGGAAATGGTTGTAAGTCACTTTTTTCAATCCATTGTAATTTTGGTCACTAAATGAATGGGTGTAAGTCAAGGGCTATCTGTAGACCTACGTCTCTGCTGTCGAGCTCTGGATGAGCTTATCTAGACTAAACCATAAATTATGTTGAATAATCATAGTGATTCCAACAGCTGAGCATCCCGTGTTATAACTCAGAAAACTGGTTGAATTCAAGCCACGCGGGAAATCTGTAACTTTGATATCAGGAGGGCCATTCACTGAATAGCCTGGATAATAACATTATCCATCTCTACTTGCATCGAACTATTAGCGAGAGCTTTCTGTCCCTGAAAGGGTCAGAGGTGGGTTGCTGCCAGTTTGGCCCGGTTCAGCTGAACCGGTAGTAGCGGTGGCGGGAGGCTCTTCCTGGACACTTCTGTGCATGCACAGAAGTGTTGCACACGTGCGAGCGAACCGGTAATAAACTGGTTAGCAACCCACCTCTGCTGAAAGTATATTATTTGTGCAAAAGGAAGCCAACGTATCCATGAAAGAATGGATCCTTCCGACAGGATCCCTTCCCTTTCCTTTGGAGGTGGGTCTTCCTTCCCTGAGACGTTTCTTCTATGCAGATCATAGTCATTCTGGAAGTAAAACATCTGTATCAGAATCCCTTTTAGTTTAGGTGACTATTTAGTTTCAGTGACCTTTTATTTAAATGAGTCTATGTAGTCAGACCGGTTCGTTGTGACAAGATTTGTTTATTTTTCCAGATTCTTGATGACAGAAAACAATGGTGGAAAGTCCAGAATGCAAATGGATTGACTGGATTTGTGCCAAATAACATCTTGGAACCTCTCAGAACTCCTGAAGGTGTCTGTACAGAGCCAGCATATATGCACACCATACAGGTATCTCCAGTTCTTTTAAGCAAAGAATATGAGGCGCCACATTGACAGGACTTTGTCCTCAGAGATTGAATAGCCTATGACAAGGGTGTCAAACTCAAGGCATGTGGGCTAGATCCGGCCCACGGGGTGCTTAGATCTGGCCTGCAGGCCCACTCTGGAAACCACAAAGACCAGCCCGCAATGCCTCTGCCAGCCAAAATGGAGCTTGGGAGGGGGCAGAGGGCTAGCAAAACAAACTAAAAACAAAACAAAAGGAGAAATGTTTGCCCTTTTGCATTTGACCATGTAAGAAGGGACATGAAAGGAGAAAGGGAAAAGGGAAAGACAAAGAAAAAGAAGGGAAGATGGGAAGACAGCAAAGAAGGAAAAATGGGAAGGAAGAAGAAAGGAGTCTGAAGAGGGAAGAAAGAGGAAGGAAGGAAGGAAGGAAGGAAGGAAGGAAGGAAGGAAGGAAGGAAGGAAGGAGATTATAATGAGAGTGAGGGACGGTCTGAGGGAAGTCCTACCTTAGCACTTGGCCACCATAGGTGCCTGCGACATGCATGGCATTGAGCTGGCCACGCCCACCCCAGCCACGCCCGCCTGAGGTCAAACACGATCCTGATGAAGCCCTCAATGAAATCGAGTTGATACCCCTGGACAGTGGTGGGTTTCAAAAATTGTTCGAACCTACTCTGTGGGTGTGGCCTCCTTTGTGGGAGTGGCTCACCGCCCATGTGACCGTATGGGAGTGGCTTGCCACCCATGTGACCGGATATGAAGATGCCGACGACACTTGTCAGAACCACCTTAAATTACTTCACACACAGCACTGGCATGCATAAGAATATG